CTAAAATTTTAAATAAATTTGTACATATTTATGAGTTCGTAATGAGATCAATTAATCCATATAGAGATGCGAAATTTTGGTAGTGCATGGAAATTTATATATATTATAGTATTTTTTTTTTCTAAAAATAATGCCTACTTTTCTTTTTCATTCTCAAGCAAAACAGTCTTTCCTTGCAATCTTGTTGCTTTAATGGTTCTTCCAGCAATCAAGTTAAACCAATGAAAAAGTCAAGGCAACCATATTAAATTCGTTGAAAAGATGAATTATTATTATTATTATTATTATTATTATTATTATTATTATTATTATTATTTAGTTACTTATTTTAAAATAAACATAAAAAATAATTTACTTTTTAATACAAGTTATGACTATTTATATATGGAAAAAAGTATTTATCTTTCCTTTTTTATTTTTCCCTGATTGTCTTTAGATTATGTGTTTATAGTTTATATGATACATTCACTTTTAATTTTGTTTTTTTTTATACATACATTTTTTTAAACTCGAGTTTTTGGTCTAAACATAGTAAGAGGAACAATTTTTATATATTAAGACATTTACACCTACAAATATAAGCTAATGTTCACAAAATAAATTTGTATATGAAAGTCCAACAATAACGTACACCACTCACTCGATTATAACTTAGAGTACATTTGAAGAAACAGTCAAATCAGTTTACGGTGCGAATTACTTTCCAAAAAGTCATCTAAATGGAATGTAGTTTGAACATCGCCAATACTTGTAATTTTTGATGAATTTTTGCAATTGTGACTAGGGAAGAAAATATGGGAAAGAAGAGAGAGAGAGAAAAAAAAACAAGTCTGACAAAACTGAAGCTTTTACACGCGCCCGCTGGACGCGTAAGGTTCGCTGAACGCGCGAACAAACGCGACCATTTTTCCACATGGACCCTATATGCTCAGTCCAAAAACTTCTCCTCCTGCAAACACCAAAAAACTTCTCACTCATCTTTCTTTCTCTTTCCTCCCAGTCCCCATCAACCTTCTTCAAAAATCACACCAAAAACTTCTAATGGGGATGCCCTTTTATTAAAGTAAAGTAATAAACATTCAACAGAAATTGTACAATTTTCGAAAAAAACAGAAGTTGTACAATTACTTCTAACATTTTTAAAGATTGTCTTTAACTTGTGAAATTAAACATCATCTTTTGAATTTTCTTTATAAGATATTACAAAAATAAAGTATAAATAAACGAATAGACGTATCATAAAAACTGGGCTCAAATACTAGAACTTATCGCCAATTGTTCCACCATTATTTGAATTGGAGCATGTAGATTCACGTGTAGTGTTTTCTTGGTAGGTATATATTCAAAATAATTTTGTTTTTCTGGAAAGTTGAAAACGAATTTACCGCAGAGAAAAATGACAAAATCTCACTGTCAGTTTTCTCCCCCACTAGCTGCTTCCCTCCTTACCTACATCTTGTACTGCACTCTCCCCCTCAAAACAAATTTGACACTTTTTAATTATTTATTTATTAAAGTAAGTGTTTTTAATTGAATTAAAGGTAGATTATGCAATCTTGATTGTGTTACCACTTACCACTCAACATTCCAGCAAAGTCTCACGGGACTAGTTCAGTAGGTTCGACTAATCATCTTAAAATTTTGCTCGATAATGTAAAATTCAAATTCTACTGAAAATCTGAAATTATTGGGAGATCTTGACCTATTAAAAGTGAATAAACCTTCCTTCTAGGAGAAGAAGAGAGTATGGAAACTTAGAATTAGTTTAAGGTAAGTCTAGAAATTTAGGCTATGTTTGGCAAACCTAGCTGAAAAGTTATAAGCTAGGAGCTGAAAGCTAAAAGTTGAAAAGCTATAAACTCGGAACTAAAAACTGAAGAGCTGTTAAGCTAACTGTTATGATTGAAAGTGTTTGGTAAAATTAGCTTTTTGATAAGATGATAAATGTAAAAAGACTAAAATGACATTTTCATAAAATTTAAATTAGTTTATTTACATATTAAAATTTAACATTTTAAAATAAAACTATTAGTATAATCATGATCTAGCATCTCATAATGGAGTAGCAATATTGTTGCAAATCTCATAATAATAATAATAATAATAATAATAATAATAATAATAATAATAATAATTGCGATGAAAGTTGGGATAAAGGAAAAGAGAAAATGGTTTTAATCGGGAAAAGTAAATTATTTCATTTCTTTAAAATAATAAGGATAAAGATGAAGAAAAAAAAAAAAAGAAGCTAAGAACTTATTTTGAAACGCTATCTTAGGTAGCGTTTCAAAAATAAGCTCTTATTTTAAGATAAGAACTTATTTTAAGAACAGAGCTTATTAGTAGCTTAAAATAAACTATAAGCTCCTAAATAAGTTCTACCAAACGAGCTTTAATATATTAAAACAAGAAAAAAAAGCCCCAAAATTTTCTTACCCCCGCAAAATTTGGCCATAATCTAAAGCAGAAATTGTCCTTTCTTGAAAAACAGTATGATTCCTGGTACTTTAAAAACTATGGGTATGGGCATTTCACTTTCAGCTCTTAAAGCAAACCCCACAACCCAAATCTTCTTCAAGCACTCTCTTCTTCTTCTGCAGCATCCAAAGTTGAGAGCTTTTTCTTGGATTTCACCTTCCAGTGACTCATTCCGGTATGCTTCTGCCTGTCCATTTTCCATTCGTTTTGAAGTTTCTAGTGCTGCTAAGATGAAACATAAAGATCCAATTTTTGATTGAGAAGGGGGGTAGGGAAGTGCTGGGTTTGGTTTGGTTTTCTTGATTATGCTTAAAATGAGGGACTTTCCTTCTTGTTTTGGTGAGAATGGGGTTCAAGTTGCTGATGCTTCATGTTCCAGTGTTGTTGGGGTGAGTAAAGCCCCCCAAAATTTAGTTACTTGTGTTTATCAGTGTAGATTGCTGGAGAAATCTTGTTTGGTGACTATTGTTTGGAGCAAGAATTTGATGGGGCAATGCCTTAGTGTTGAGATAGAGGATTTGTCTCATCAGTGCCTTTGTAAAGTTGATGTAAAGCCCTCACTGTTCTCAAAAAGGAAAGGGTCCAAGTCTTTAGAAGTGAATTCTTGTAGAATTGACCTCTATTGGGATCTCTCTGTGGCGAAATTAGGGTCCGGGCCGGAGCCCTTGGAAGGGTATTATTTAGCACTAGTGTGTAATGGGCATATGGCTTTGGTTGTTGGGGATCTGAGGAAAGAAGCATTTAAGAAGACTAATGCAAATCCCCAGATTTCCAGTGCCATGTTCATTTCCAAGAGGGAGCATATTTTTGGGAAGAGGGTGTTTGGCACTAAGGTTCAATTTTGTGATAGTGGTCCAATTCACGACCTCGTGATCGAATGTGACACGAATGGGGTCGATGACCCGTGCCTTTTTGTCCGGATTGATAGTAAGACAGTGATGCAAGTGAGGCATCTGTGCTGGAAGTTTCGCGGGAACTATACCATTTTGGTGGATGGCCTTCCCGTGGAAGTTTTCTGGGATGTCCATAACTGGCTGTTTGGTACCAATTTTGGGAACGCGGTTTTCATGTTCCAAACATGCTTGTCACCCGAGAAGTTGTGGAAAAGCCAGTCGTTGTCCGACCACTCTGTGCTGCCTTGGCCTTACTCCGAGAGTTTCAGCAGTTCCAAGTCGCCCGGTGTTGGTTTTTCTTTGATTTTATATGCCTGGAAGAACGAGTAGTTGTTTCTGAAGGAGATTGTTGTGCTGACAAACTGGATTAAATTATATAGTTTTGTCATTTTAATCCATTGTCCCTTTCTCTATTTGCCTTGTTGATTTCTTGGAATGGAGTAATTCGACTGAAAAACCTTTTTTTTTTTTTTGTTCTGAAGATGATTATAATTCATTAACTTTTGTCATGTGAGATATGATAAACCGAGTAGATTTATTTCTCAGTAGAGTGTACATTAGATCACGCTTGTGATGATGATAGATAACAGCAGTGTGTGACTTTTGTTAAAGTAATTTAAGCGATTATTGTTGTTTAAGCTAAATGTAACTATTGCTTTATACTCTTCGGCCCTTGACTTTGTTGAAGCTCCTTTTTGAGGCAGGTAATTACGTTGCTGAAACTATGGTAGCCATGGTGAAAACCTTCAGGTATCTCGTCTCTTTTTCGTTGAGAACCTTGAAAGTTGACAATTACTTGCAAAAAAAAGTATTTTTTTTTGTTTTTTTTTGGTCACTTAATCTCGATCCCCTTGTCAATTCCATGTTCATCTTGAACTTCTTGATAGTCGAGATATCAGGATATCATGTTTGCATTTTCAAATCCTTGTGACATAAACAACTCTCCCATATCGGTTTAGTTTTCCATTTGCAAAATGAATGATTATGGTGCAATCTTTTCATATTTCCATGATTATTGAGGCCTAACAACACAATCCCTTACCCATTTACCATTCCAGTTTTGAGGGATTTCTCAGCACTCAAAGACAAATATAGTTTTAAGATTCTAACTGAGATTTATGGATGAATCATCAAGAAAGCTGCCAACAACAACAAAAAGTGAATAAAACAGTTCTTGTTTGCTTCAAAACAAAAAGAAAAAAAGAAAAAAAGAAGAAAAGTTGCAAACAAAAAAGAAGAAAAATCAAATTTGACCTGCATAACAATTGGCCAATGGTGAGACTGCACTAGTCTACTGGTGCATCTGACCTTTGATTGAGATTTATAGAGAAGTATCAAGAATGAAAAGTCATGAATAAAGCCATTCTTATCAATTTGGGCATCAATTATTTGATTAGAACAGTCCATTGTGAAGATTTTTCTATATAGTTGAGCCAAAATGAAACATGATTTCACCACACTTACAGTAAAAGCAAGCATCTATATAAAAATAGAAAATGGTTTCATGCTTCACCATTTTCACCATTATCTTTCTCCTCCTCCCACTCTCTGCCATAGCCTCACCTCAACAGAATTACCATCCGTTCAACTCCCTCTCTTTGTTTGGTTTGGAGTAGTTATTATGTGACAATGTTGGAATTTAGGTGGGCAGATTGGAAGTTTCATGTGTCTTTTGACACGAGGGCAGGTCTGATAATATCATTAGCGACTGTCTATGATCATGAAAAAGGTGAACACAGGAGTGTTATGTACAGAGGTTTTGTGTCTGAGGTTTTTGTGCCATACATGGACTTAAGTGAAGGGTGGGACTTCAGAACTTTTCTTGATTTCGGGGAATATGGATTCGGGTTATGTGGTATAGAGCTGCAGCCATTAAGGGACTGCCCAGAAAACGCAGAGTTCATGGACGGATATTTCAGTAATCAGGATGGAACTCCAGGGAAACAGAAGAACGTGATCTGTATATTCGAACGCTATGCTGGAAATGTCATGTGGCGCCACACTGAAACTGGAATTGTGGGGGAACAGGATAGTACTATTCCCCAGTTCTTGTTCTTGAATCTTGATTTTGTGACAATGGCTTCTGGAATGAAAAGTTTTGTTGTGAATCCTAGCAAGAAGACTAAGATGGGGAACGAAGTTGGGTACCGTTTGATCCCTAGATCCCCAGCAGGCCCTTTGTTATCAGACGACGACTACCCACAGATTCGGGGGGCTTTCACTAAGTATAATGTGTGGGTGACACCTTACAATAAAAGCGAGAAATGGGCTGCTGGACAGTTTGCTGATCAAAACCGAGGCGATGATGGTTTAGCTGCTTGGAGCCTCAGGTAAGTAAAACACTAAAACATAGTCCCAGTTACTAGGAATCTTCTTCCATTTTAACTGATGTATAACTATAGAACCTTTCAAAGAATCATCTGAATGGCAAAATAATGGCTGCTTTCTGGCTGGCAATATGTTTGCAGGAACAGCAAAATAGAGAAGAAAGATATCGTGTTGTGGTACACAATGGGATTTCACCATGTTCCATGCCAAGAAGATTTCCCTGTCATGCCAACACTTAGCAATGGATTCGAGCTTAGACCATCCAATTTCTTCGAGTATAATCCAGTGCTCAAAATAAAGCCTCCCAAACAGTAAGAGCTATCAAGAAAAGTCTCACGGGACTAGCTCGATCAAGAAAATATGTTACAATTTGCTGCTTCTTTGAAGACCAAGAAAATATGGTTGAACCAAGATAGAAGGCATATCCCGATATGCTTTTTCTGGTCTCAAGTCTCAACATCTCCAGCCCAATCACTATCTGTATATCCAACAAATTTCACAACTTCATTAGTAATGTAAAACATTCCATCATTACTCATACTTTTGACATATCTTAGAATTCGCTTTAGTGTAGTCCAATGAGATTCTTTTGGTTCCTTCATGAATCTACTAAGTATTCCAACTCCAAAAGAAATATCCCGCCTTGTTGACACCAGATACCTCAAACTCCCAATTGAGCTTTTATAAGGTGTAACATTCACATTCTTATCACATTTATTTTTGGACACCTTTAACTTTTTAGCTACCGGAGTTGAAACTGGTTTGAAATTTGCCATTTTGAACTTTTTCAAAATATCATCAGAATATTTCTTTTGTGAAATAAAGATTCTACCATCCATTTGAACAACCTCAAGGCCAAGAAAGTAACACATAAGGCCCATATCAATCATTTCAAATCTCTTAATGATCAAAGTAACACAATTGATCTCGCCGTATAACAGATGCATCAGCTCCTTCTGGTAAATCGGGATCAACAAAGCTCCAAAGATTTTGAGTTTTTAAATGTGTAGTCATCATAATTTGCCAATAATTGTAATCGAGTTTTCCATCCAATTTGAGACTCGACCATACAATATTGAAATTTATTGTCATATTTCACTACGGAAAATATCTCGGGATTGAAAGGTTGTCTGGCTCTGATACCAAATGAATGATATATTAAATAATAATATATCTATTTTTTTTGGTGAATATAATAATATATCTATATCTATGTATATCTTATAGTGAAAGATAAAGCTATTTATAGTGAAGGATAAAGCTAACAAAGCATAAAATAAAACTGACCATAACCCCATTATCAATACCACTACCTCACTGAAGACATTAACAACTAACCCACTAAACTTGGTTTAATATTATCAAAGAAAAATGAAGTTGGAGAAAAAATTTCCCGCCAAATGTGATTAGCAATATGAATGCATTTATTGATAAAGTTTTATATTTAATATAATTTGTGTATATATTCATTTAAACCTCAATTATAATTAATTTGACTCTACATATATAAAAATGAGAAATTAGATACATCGTATAAAACAAACATAGTTCTTACATAAATAATCTTTTTCAAATGAATAAGTTTTTGGTAGAGATTTTCGACAAATGTTACCTGTTATTTTATTTAAATACGTTAGCTATGTAATTAAATTAGTTATTTCAAATTCTAATTCAAATACAAATAATAACACAAGTAACAATAAACTTTAAAATCAACATAATAATAACATAATTAAACTTTTAAATTATAACATTACAACAATATCTATAAATTTTTGTTCGCACAGGACAAATACTAGTAATAATAATATTATTATAATACTAACTAATATAATTCATATCTTTCTCAATCCAGTAGGATATTTGAATAGGATTGTTTCAGAGTTTAGAGGCCCTGTCAATGCTCCTCCAGTCCTACAACATTAGACAACATCTTGGTATTGTTGTATAGGAAGATGTCTCATAAAATCCAATTCTTGATGCTTTATATCTTGGGAGCAAGAACCAGAAATCCATATTTCATGTTTACATTCGTTAACAGTTGTCGAATGCAGGGTTCGATTCCTACCAAGAGAAATATGAAATTGACTCTACTATAGACACTAGTGTATAAGCACTTTGAAGAACTTGTAGACTGTTGGGATACATCCCGTGATTTATCACGTCCACTATGGCTCCAGAACAGGGACAGTGGGGTCCTCGTGATTATGGTGCAATCTTTTCATATCTCCATGATTATTGATGCTACTAACAACACAATCCCTTCTATCAATTTGGGCATCAATTATTTGATTAGAACATGCAGTCCATTGTGAGTATTTTTCTATATATAGTTGAGGCATGGTGACAGACCATAAAGAGAAGTATGAATTCAATAATGAAAAAAGTGAATAAAGGCATTATATTCTTAGCAATAATTATTTGGTTAGAACCGTGAGGATTTTTCTATATAGTTGAGCCAAAATGAAACATGATTTGCAGTAAAAGAAGTATCATATCTATGACAATGGTTTCATGCTTCACCATTTTCATGATCATTATCTTTCTCCTCTCACTCTCACTCTCTGCCATAGCCTCACCTCAACAGAACTACCATCCACTCAATTCCCTCTCTTTGCCCGAGCTCCAACGAGTTCAAACGATACTCAAAGCTCAAAATCCCCACAAGAACTTGTCCTTACACTATGTAGGCTTGGATGAGCCAGACAAGCCACTAGTCCTCTCTTGGCTATCCACCCGTTCCTCCTCGTCCTCCACCCCGCCACCCCGCCTGGCTTACATCATTGCCAGAGATGACGGGAGAACCCACGAGATCACCATCGACTTATCCACCGACTCCATCATTTCCAACACAGTATACCATGGCCATGGCTACCCTATCCTTTCTACTCAAGAACAAGACATTGCTAGTAGATTGCCACAAACTTATGCACCATTTATAGCTTCGATTGCGAAGAGAGGGCTGAAGTTGGAAGAAGTGTTGTGCGAAAGCTTCACCGCTGGATGGTTCGGGGAGACAAGGGAGAGCAAGAGAGTGGTCAAAGTTATGTGCTATTACTTGGATGGCACACTCAACTTCTTTATGAGACCTATTGAGGGCATTGTTGTGACTGTTGATCTTGATGTGATGAAAATTGTTGGGTACCTTGACAGGATGATGGTTCCCGTGCCAAAAGCCGAGGGAACGGATTATACGAAACCTCTATATGATTCACACATAAATGGCTTTAGAATGATCCAACCAGAAGGACCTAGCTTCTCTATAGATGGACAAGAAGTGAGGTAATTGGTAATTTAATTTGGTTTTTCATTTCATGTTTTGGATTAATGAATAATATAATGTTGGAATGGAATTTAATTAGGTGGGCAGATTGGAAGTTTCATGTGTCTTTTGACATGAGGGCAGGTGTGATAATATCGTCAGCGAGTGTGTATGATCATGAAAAAGGTGAACACAGGAGTGTTATGTACAGAGGTTTTGTGTCTGAGATTTTTGTGCCATACATGGACTTAAGTGAAGGGTGGTACTTCAAAACTTTTCTTGATTCCGGGGAATATGGATTCGGGTTATATGGTATAGAGCTGGAGCCATTAAGGGACTGCCCAGAAAACGCAGAATACATGGATGGATACTTCAGTAATCAGGATGGAACTCCAGGGAAACAGAAGAATGTGATCTGTATATTCGAACGCTATGCTGGAAATGTCATGTGGCGCCACACCGAAACAGGAATTGTGGGGGAAAAGGATAGTACTATTCCCATTTACCCAGTTCTTGTTCTTGAATCTTGATTTTGTGACAATATAATGAATAGTTTTGTTTTGTGCAGATACGAGAAGTTAGGCCGGAAGTGAGCCTAGTGGTGAGAATGGTGTCAGCTCTGGGGAACTATGACTACATTATAGATTGGGAGTTTAAACAAACTGGGAGCATTGAAGTTAATGTAAGTCATGACCTTATAAACTCATATATTCTCTCTTATTTTATCAGGGACTCTTAACACTCCCCCTCAAGTAGACAATCGGGCCCTCCCCTGAAACGACACTCCCCCTCAAGTAGACAATCGGGCCCTCCCCTGAAACGAAAGCTCTGGACGCTACCAATACCCATAATCGAATTGAATTTACGAATGATGCAGGTTGGGTTGACTGGCATGCTTGCAGTAAGGGGATCTGCATACACTCACACCGATCAGATACAGAACACTGAAGCCTATGGCAGTCTTCTAGCAGAAAACACAATAGGGTCACGCCACGATCATTTTGTTAGCTTCTACCTGGATCTCGATGTGGATGGTTACACCAATTCATTCGTTAAAAACACGTTGAAAACAACTCGAGCGAGCGAGAAGGTATCGCCTAGGAAAAGCTACTGGACTGTTGTTAGGGAAACAGCTGAGAAAGAGTCTGATGCAAGGATTCAGCTAGGCTCGAGTGCAGCTGAGCTGGTGGTTGTGAATCCTAGCAAGAAGACTAAGATGGGGAACGAAGTTGGGTACCGTTTGATCCCAAGATCCCCGGCAGGCCCTTTGTTATCAGACGACGACTACCCACAGATTCGGGGGGCTTTCACTAAGTACAATGTATGGGTCACACCTTACAACAAAACCGAGAAATGGGTTGATGGACAATTTGCTGATCAAAACCGGGGCGATGATGGTTTAGCTGCTTGGAGCCTCAAGTAAGTAAACACTATATATATCTGATCTGAATGGCAAAATATATATATAATAATGTATGTTTAATTTGCAGGAACAGGAAAATAGAGAAGAAAGATATTGTGTTATGGTACACAATGGGATTTCACCATGTTCCATGCCAAGAAGATTTCCCTGTCATGCCAACACTTACCAGTGGATTCGAGCTTAGACCAACCAATTTCTTCGACTATAATCCAGTGCTCAAAATAAAGCCTCCCAAACAGTAACTACTTTATACATATATAATGGGACTGAAGATCCAACTTCGACACTTCCCTATTGAGTGTACAATAAACATCCTGGCCTGCTGCTAAAATATTGTTTATTAGTCGTTGCCCTTTCAGGATATTGTTTCTTTATGTTTTTAACCTTTTAACTCCTATATATAGATAGGAGGCAAAATATTATATTGTCTTAATAAGTACTCCTTAATTGGTATTTGAATAATAATAATAAGGGATAAGGGTCAAATAGGCCCTTCAACTATAAGACAAAGTGCAATTAGCCCCTTAACTAACAAAAGCTCCAATTAACCCCTTCATCTTTTTACTTGTATGCAATTAAGTCCATAACTTTCTAAATTTGTGCAATTAGCTTAATTTGAAGGTAAACATAAGGTAATAGTAGGTCAAATTGATTTTTTTTTTTTCTAGAAAAAAAAAAACTAAAACTAAAACTAAAACTAAAAAAAAAAAAAAAAAAAAAAAATACAAATTACGTCCAGTTGACGGAGAAGCCATGGCCGGCTTCCCGTCAAACTGGACGGAGAAGCCATGGCTGGCATCTCCGTCCAGTTTGACGGAGAAGCCGGCCCATTCTCCGTCGACTGGACTGAGAAGCCATTGCCAGCTTCTCCGTCCAGTTTGACGGAGAGCCATGGCCGGCTTCTCCGTCAACTGGGCTTAGAATCCATGGCCGACTTCTCCGTCAAACTGGACGGAGAAGCCATGTCTGGTATCTCTGTCCAGTTTGACGGAGAGCCATGGCCGACTTTTCCGTCCAGTTTGACGGAGAAGCCATGACCGGCTTCTCCGTCAACTGGGCGAAGAAGCCACGGTCGGCTTCTCCGTCAACTGGCCGGAGAAGCCAGCCATGGCAGTTTCTCCGCCGACTTCTCCGTCTAGTTTGACGGAGAAGCCTTTTTTTTTTTTTTTTAATTTCTTTATTATTTTATTTTTTATTTGAATTAAAAAAAGATATTATTTTATTTTTATTTTAAAAAAAAAAAATTACCTGCAACTTTAATGTAACCTTCTAATTAACCTAATTGCACAAAAATGAAAAGATAAAGGGTCTAATTGAAGCTTTTGTTAATTTAAGGGCCTAATTGTACTTTGGCCTATAGTTGAAGGGTCTATTTGACCCTTATCCCTAATAATAATAAAAAAAGTCTTTTCCTCAACTTCTTCTCCAATTTTTTGTGATTCCAGCATTCACCCCATCATCCACTATCTTACTCGATCACCAAAATCCTTTTCCATATTAGTTTGAAGTTTTTTGAGAAAATTGTAAAAAATGCCCCTCTATAATTGACAAATTATCAATGTTACTCCTGAATTATGAGGGTTGTAAATGTTGCCCCTCAATTATTAAAACGATATATATATTACCCCTCCCGTAACGGACTTGTGGTTATCGATTAGTGTATACAGTTAAGTTAGGGTAAATATGTAATTTGTTTATTTTTTCCTTTTTGTTTTTCTATTTTCCCTTTCTCCTCATCGGACGATGAAAAGGCGGTTGAGGAGCTTCTGTCTCAGGCTATGAATCAGTCTGTTCTCGGGCAGGTCGCCGCCATAAACTGCTCCGACTTAACCCACTCGGACCTCGTCGATCACCTCGAAGCTCGCTTTCGGAAACTCAAAACTTTCCCTGCCACAAAACCCAAGCCCTCAAACCTTACCGCCGCCGCCGCTTCTAAAAGCTTCAATCATTCTTAGTCCGTTGATCCCTAGAGGAAAGAAGATCAAGCCGAGGAGAATTCGGACTCAACTGTTGTTTCACCCCTCACCAGAATTGGAGACTAAGAATCATGATTTCTCAGCTTCCAAGAAAAACCCAGATAGAAAAATGGATTCAGAGCCCAAATCCGGATCTGGGTCATCGTCATTGTCTATGGGTTCTCCTGATTTTTGAACGGAGCCCCCGTCCCCGTCGGCAAAAACTAGCTGCATGTGGTGTTCCCCCAAGAAGGTCTCGAAGAAGAATGGGAAAGAGAACAGGGCCACTATTGGTAAAGGATTCGATTGGGATGCTGAGTGTTTGTCGGATTAGACCAATTTTTCCAAGAACAATCAGGAGAAAATGCTGAAGGACACTCCAGGGAAGAACACTCTGCAGCCAACAACAAACTATTTTGAGAAGTTCACCATTATTTATCCTTTTTGTTTTTGTTATTTACTTGAAATGATTTTTTAAACTAGGTTTACATTAAGGGAGGTAGAAGTGAAGAATTATGCTTAAGTTATTGATGTGATTCTATAAAGAACGGCGAAAATAGGAAGAAGGAGAAACTTGGTTGTTGGTGGCCGGAGAACAGTAACGGCGAATAGAGTCTCCGGTCTTCGATCGTCTTCTGTCATAGCAAGAACCAGGGCCATTGACTAACGGGAATTCACAGATCCGTTACCGGAGGGATTATAAGTGCACTGTTTTAATAATTGAAGGGCAACATTTACAACCCTCATAATTTAGAAGTAACATTGATAATTGGTCAATTATAGAGGGGCATTTTTTTACAATTTTCCCAAATTTTTTTCTAAGTTTTTTGGTGGACTCACTATTTTATATCATTTACTTTAATTATTTTTTTATTTAATGAATTATAAATTTATAATTCTAATGAAAATTAATTAAAATAAACATACCTACATTTAATTAAAATGATAATTATAAAAATTTAAATTAATTTATTCCGTTGTTGCTCTTTTTATTTTAATCATTTTAAACTTTAATTGTAATTAAATCATTCAAAATTTAATTCAAAAAATATTAAATTTGATATTTTATAAAAAAAGATTTAAAAATAATAATAAAACAATAAAAATAAACAAATTAAATGTAACAAAAAAAAAAAAAAAAAGGAGCTACATGTGAAAAAAAAAAAAAAAAAAAAAAAAAAAAAAAAAAAAAACAACAAACAAACAAACAAACAAAAACAAAAAACCTCACCCCACATCAGCCAAAAATCAAATCTTAAAGTTGCTACTGTTCTAAAACTGAGAAAAAAGCACTGATATAGATGCTCTCATATCAGCATAAACATGAAAATGAAGTGTGTGTTACTCTAGATGATAAAATAAACATAAAAGTATTCTTAGCTCCCAATGCATGAAAAGTCTCTGAATCTATCCTTTTCTCTGTTTTTTTTTTTTTTAAACGATTACAGGTAATGAATTGATGGTGGCTCAACCACCATTTGTTAATGTAGCTTTCATGATTCATTCAAGCTTTTTAGTCAACTAGTTATACTCGTGATACATACTTAGTCCTTGAGTTATATGCATGACCCGTCTAACCCTCTTTAACACTTAGCCCGAAGTGGTAATTGTAGTTCCTCAGGAACTATTTCTGCCACCAATATGTCACTTAATAAAGTAGTGGATTTGGTCTTTTAGGGACTAAACTAGTTACTTTGTACATAACTCAGGGGTTAAAGATATCACACACATAACTCGAGACTAAGTCTATACTGTGAGTTTAACTGGATGACCAAAAATGCAATTTTCCCGTCTATATATATTCGCAGAAACAGTTCTAATTTCAGATCACCACTTCACAGTCAAGATGACAATGCAAATGCAAAGAACACTCCATCTTTTTGCTGCAATCTTTCTCTTCTTTGTAGCTAGTACCAGTACTAGCATATCTCACCCTTTAGACCCTCTAAACCCCAAGGAAATCAACAAAATTAGGTCCATCATTCACAACTCCTCTAACCTTGGTTCCCTCCCAAACCTGACATTCCATTTTCTTGATCTTGAAGAACCAGAGAAAAGTGATGTCCTGGACTGGCTATCCTCAAAGATACATTCTTTTCCTTATAGACAAGCCCGGGCAGTGGTCCGGGCTAATGGCGAGACTCGTGAAGTCATTGTAGACCTGATCGCGAGCTCGATTGTCTCTGACAAAGTCTACAGTGGCCATGGATTTCCTCCCTTCACTCTGGATGAAATCCAGCAGGCCAGCAGGCTGACCTTGAGGAATCCCCGGTTTCAAGATTCGGTCTCGAGGAGAGGACTGAACATATCAGAAATCACTTGTATACTGGTCTCGACAGGCTGGTATGGAGAGTTAATTAGCAGAAGAGTTCTCAGAGTTCCTTGCTATTCTCGGGGTGGAACGACTAATTTCTGGAGCAGGCCTATTGAGGGAATTAGCACACTAGTAGACGTCGAGACAATGCAGATTATCCAATACACAGACAGAGCCAAATACCCTTTGCCACGAGCTAAGGATACCGCCTTCCAAACGAGCCAAGATTCATCAAGATTCACCTGTAATGTGACCAAAAACAGGATTAACATCCAGGGAAACATGGTGAGATGGGAGAACTGGGAATTCCATCTCGGGTTCAATGCTCGTGCTGGCCTAGTTGTATCAACAGCTTCTGTATTCGACTCTGCAACGAAGAGTTATCGACGTGTGCTCTATAGAGGCTATGCTTCTGAGACATTTGTTCCATACATGGATCCTACATCTGACTGGTACTATAAAACCTTCATGGACATAGGAGAGTTTGGTTTTGGAAGATCTGCTAGCTCTCTTGTTCCATTGCTTGACTGTCCAGCTAACGCTGTGTATATCGATGGCTTCATAGCCGGGGCAGATGGACAGGCTCAGGTTGTTCCGGGAGCCATTTGTATATTTGAACATTATTCAGGCCATGTTTCTTGGAGACACACTAATATTGGTGTGCCAGGGAGACTGGTAAGGCAATATGTAGTTTAGAGATATCCATTAATTTTCTCAATTATGTCAAATGTTGGTTAAATCTGTTGAGTTTTTGCAGATAACTAGTGGAGAGCAAGAAGTTAACTTGGTGGCAAGAATGGTGGCAACAGTGGGAAACTATGATTATGTACTTGATTGGGAGTTCAAGCAAAGTGGTTCCATCAAGATTGGGGTAAGAGTAGTAAATCAGTGAATAATCTTTGATGTTGCCGGCAAAAGGCGAAATCCCTCGCCCGGGGATCCCACACTTGACCCAACAGAATTTGTGGAGGTGGTAAATCACCGTGACTCAACCGTCCATTAAGTGAGAGGACTAGTGTCTGGCACTCACAAGGAGCTCAACTTTCCATTAAGTGGGAGGACGAGTATCTGGTGCCCCTTGCTCGGGGTCCCTACACCCCCCGGCCTGACAGGATTTGTGGAGGGGGTAAATCACGGCGACTCAACTGTGGGCCATCCTGGGTGTAGCTCCAACACTACAGCTGTCAGGGCATGATCGATTGTCTTGTGTCCTTACCCACAATTTGTATCTTGAATCTTAAATATAACATTCTTGAACTTATAATGAATGTCGATTCTCGAGTAACTTTTGAGGTAGTGATTGCAGGTTAGCTTAACAGGTGTTCTTGAGATGAAGGCGGTGCCATACGCGAGAAGCGATGAGATAAAAGAAGATGTTTATGGAACCTTTGTTGCACAAAACACTGTTGCAGTGAACCATGACCACTTTGTCACATACTATCTTGATGTAGACATTGATGGCAGCTCCAATTCATTTGTGAAAGCCAAATTGAAGCCTGATAGAGTGAAGAATCCCAACATTTCACCTAGGAAGAGCTACTGGAGAGTGGTTAAGGAGACAGTAAAAACAGAAGGCCAGGCCAGGATTCAGTTGGGATTAGACCCTGCAGAGTTGCTGATTGTGAACCCCAACAAGAGAACAAATATTGGAAACCATGTCGGGTACAACTTGATAACCGGGCATCTAGTATCCTCACTACTATGGGACGACGATTATCCCCAAATCCGAGCAGCTTATACCAAGTATCAAGTGTGGGTAACTCGTTCAACAAGTCGGAGAAGTGGGCCGGGGGATTTTACGCAGACAAGAGCCATGGAGATGATGGACTAGCCATTTGGAGCCATAGGTAATTAAGCCACATTATCAATTTATATATGCCTGTTTTGAAGGACAATATACATATATTGATTCAAGAAACCTTAATTATCTAATTTGCAGGAACAGAACAATTGAAAACAAAGATATAGTGTTATGGTACACTGTGGGGTTCCACCATGCACCTGTTCAAGAAGATTTTCCAGTGATGCCAACTCTCTCTGATGGGTTCGAGCTCAGACCTGCAAACTTCTTTGCAAGAAACCCATTGCTTAGACAATGATGCATGTTAGGCGGACTTTACCCAGAGCTTACTTTCGGATAGTCACAGAAATTTTCATAATTTTTGGAGTGATGCATGTTAGAAGTTTAATATGTTAATTTTCTTTCGAGAGCACGGATTTTTCTTGGGGATTTAAAATGTGGTAAAATTATTCTCACATTTGGTGTAATCTTTGATCTAGATCGAAAAGTTCGGGTCAATGAGAATTTAATTTCATGATGTCAAGGAATGTAAATTTCGCATAGGGTGTGAGATTTTTTTTCCCCGAGTTGAAATCTATCAAATTTATTTAATTATGTTTTTATTCTTTTGGCGTTATGTTAAATGTCTCTTATAGTCTTATAAATATAAGAAATTTGTCTCCCGCCATTACGAAGGATAACAACAGGGTATATCGAAAAAAATTTGTCTTTCTCAACACTTTTTTAGATATGTACAATTTTGTATTTTGAATATTCTTGTTGCAGAATGCAAATGTTTGACATAAAATTTATCAATTATTATTCGACATGTTTTGTTTTTTGAACGTGTGCACATGTTTTGTTTTTCTGAACGTGTGCATATAGCAATGATATATTAGAGATTTTATAAATAAAAAAATTAATAAAACCTAAACGAACCAATTCAACATCTTAAATAATTTTTTAGGTAATTTAATTCTTTTGTTTCTGGGTAATACTAATTAAGTTAATTAATTTTCTTTTTTCCCAACGAATACATTGTTTTGAAAATATTTCCTCACAAATTTAATGGATGAAAAAGTATATAAAAAAAAAAAAACCGTCTTAGTGTAGGTAGGATTAATTAAGGAGTTAATTACTGAAATGGTCCATTGACTATAATGAAATTATTAATTTGATACTTAACTATTTTTTTTTTATCAATTAAGTCCCTTGACTTTAAAATTTTTAGTTAATTTAATTAGTCATCCGTTTGTTTTGCCGTGAGACATCCGTTAACTCGGGACCAAATTGGTAATTTTGCTATAGTCAAGAGACCATTTCGGTCATCACATGCACCAGTTTTCTCCGGAAAGTTAATTACTTAAATGGTTCATTGATTATAGCGAAATTACTAATTTGGTCTCGAGTTAATGGATGTATAACGGTAAAATAAACGGATTAGAGGACTAAATTAATTAAGATTTTTAAAGTTTAAAGACTCAATTAATGAAGTACTAAATTGATAATTTCGCTATAGTTAGGGACCATTTTAGTAATTATCTATGAATTAAGTGTATTTCTTGAGGTGTACGTAAGTAATTACAATCCAATACCAGTTAGGAAAGGATTAATCTCATTCTCATCCCACAAGGAGTGGGATTTAGTCGGCTAATATATATTTACGTTTCTCTCTTGGCTACTCACTCACTTCATCCAATCTATCCTTGAAATCACTAAACACTTTCGAGTTTCTAACTTTCATTACGCAATTAATTAAGTTGAAATCCATTCATTATCAGTATCTATGGGGTGGACGAAACAGCGTTTTCTAGGATCCGGGTCATACGGAAAGGTGTACTTGGCCGTAAAACGACCGGAAAGCATGGAGGTCGCGGTGAAGTCCGGCACCGGCGTCAAGTGCATCAACTCCCTCATACGGGAGGGACACTTCTTGAATTCGCTCAGAGCCTCTCCCTATATTCTTCGCTGTTTCGGGGAAGACATAAGTATGGAGAACGGAGTAGAGATTTACAGCCTTCTTCTCGAGTACGCTCCCGGCGGAACTCTCGGCCAGTTAATCAGGTCCCGCGGCGGAGCCGCCATGCCGGAATCCGACGTCGGATGGTACGCCTATCAGCTTCTCAAGGGTATTCATCACGTCCACAGCCTAGGGTTCGTCCACTGCGATATAAAGCCGGATAACGTCCTAGTCTTCCCCAGACGATACGCGAGGAATTGGATTAAGCTCTGCGATTTTGGGATAGCGAAGACGGCCGGCGGGAGCGGCTTTTTCGGCGGTAGTCATCGCGGGGCTTTACGGTACGCGCCGCCGGAATCTTTAACATGGAAACAGTACGCGCCGCCTAAGGATATTTGGGCGCTGGGTTGCATCGTCTTCCAGATGATCACCGGAAAACCTGCCTGGGAATTTAGCTATGACTGTAACTTATTATCAACCCAGAGTATATTTATATCCCCTTACGCCCTGGATTTTCTGAGAAATTGTTTGGAAGTGGACCCACGGCGGAGATGGACGGCGGAGATGCTACTTGCTCACCCATTCATCGTTAGAAATAACCATTGGTTTGAGATTGAAGAAAGAGAGGAAGATGAAGGGCCTCTGAACAACCCTTTGGGCTGTGCAGAATGGAGTTCCAGTAAGAATCTGTTTACAGGGCCGCCGCCAACTTTATGCTTCAATTCCATATTTAGAGATGTATAATATCCTTGTAGGGCACTAAGCATAATCCTTTGTTTAATTTAGTCTATGTATCTCAATTTTGATTGACGAGGAAACTAGTATGTACTTCAATTTTGATCAATCAATTAAATTTATGTATTTTAAAAAGTAGCACAATTAAGTTGACTTGATGTTACATTTCAAAAAAATAAATAAATAAATAACTAATGTATGATCGTTAATGTAGCTGACGTGACATTGACATCATCTTGAACACATCGTGATATATTCATGCCTAAATCGTACGTTATTTTATAAATATATAAAATCAATTATTTCTACCACCGCTACGTTCAAAATAAATAATCATAGCTCCTATTGAAATTTTAACACTTTAATTATGCATATAAAAAAAAAAACTATCCACTATCTACTACCATACTACTTACTCATCTTATTATTTAATTGTATAAGAAAAAAATATATATTGATATAAAAATAATTTAATTTATGTTGACAAAAATTAATAATGAAGATTAAATTGTAATATTTAAATTTATTCAGATTTTTTTAAATTTTTGAATAATTCAAAATTTTACTTTTTATATTAAAATACATATGACTTAAACCGTGACGGGACCAAAAGTTACATAAGCATTATAAAGTAACAATTCAAACAACAAAATAAAATTCTAGTCTTCTAGTCCTGGTCTATCCCATCCGATTAGAAATTGATAAAAATTTTCATTTTCATCTAACATTTCATATTTTATACACTATCCCCATTCACGTTGTCAAGCCAACTTAACCTTTTAGTTGGGATGTAGCACATGCACGTCTTAATTTAGTATCAGAGTCAAAGGTTATGAGTTCAAATATCTGCGTCACCTAATAAAAAAGAGACTATAGTCTACTTGTTATTTAGAGCTACCAAACTTCATCAAAAAGTAATCTGCCTACCCACGTGAGGAGACGTATTAAGCATTCATTCAACTAACCGTTTAGACTTTTAGTTGATCAAGACAGGAATTAAAAATGGCAATCAAAACTGAACGAATTGAAATTGACATTCCTCCAACCAAATCTAATAACATGGCCATGTTGCATTGTCATCAACTACTCAGCCATACATATATATCCTGGTTTTGGACATTTACTTACACATGCTACTATATATACCTGCAACTAACCCAAGATGACAATACACGAAATGTACACAACACTATATACAATGGTCAACCACCTTCCCTGTCTGTCCATAGATTACAGGCACATTGAAGAAGCATGAGCAACCTTTCACCACAGTTGAGGAGCAACACAAGAATTTCATGTGGGATCAAAAAAATGCCATCTTTAGGCCCCCCTCTCACCTTAATCTGCTCCCATTAAAAACAACCTAAACACTTGTGCCGGGAGACAACAAACACAACTCCAACACCACAACTACCCCGCCCCCCACATTTCTATATATATCCACCCCCCACCCACACATCAACAACAACAACCCAACATTCTTCTTCATCCTCGTTGTCTTCCTCGTCATGGTTTTGGGTCACGCAGATCTTTAAACGATTCTCCTGTTTCTGTACTGTCATATATACTGCGGGCTAGATAAGCTTGCCGCCGGGCGCTGGATCGGACGGCGATATGATCATGAAAGATGATGGAGAGACTGGTTGTTTTGATGTGTCTATTGAGACGACGACGTCGTCTTCGTCTTCGTGTGAGAGGGCTAAGGCTTATCAAGAAATGCAATCCAATGCAAGCTCTAGCAGCAATGAAGAAGCTATCAACTGCAAGAAATGGATTTGCAGTTTCTTTCCCATATTTAACAAAATCTTCATCCGCGAGGTAAAATCATCATCATCTCAAATTTTTACCCAATTCAAATTGTTTTTATATATTTAGGAATTATGTTTTAAATTTTATAAAATGTTGAATTAGTAATAGTTTAGAATTTTATATTATTTAATTTAATATGAAAATTTTAAAACAATAAAAATGGTAAAGAAAAGTAGTAAAAATGATCAAGAATAGTTAGTTGAATTGAATAGTGAATGCTACAACGTAACATTAATATAATTATTACATATCCCATATACATTTGTAGAAAAATATTTACTTCAACTTTAATTTCTAGTTTTTCATTCTTCATTCTCCCTGTTTTCGAATTAAAGAAATACGCAATTAAACACATTTTATGTATTTTTTTCAAAAAAAAAAAAAGAAGATAATCTTCAGTTAGTAAACACACGCAACGTTAATCTCACATTCACCCATCAATGGTTTGTTTATATATATGGAGTATTAAAAGAGCAACATAACTTTAGGTGCGGGAATTGGTCAAGCCCCTATCAATGAGCCTACGGAACGCCTGGTTTGGACTTGTCATGGCCTAACTTGTTTAGTAAAAATGCTAGACTTAGACCTATTTAAGACATATTTAACTAAACAGGCCACACCTATATGTTTAAGGTCGATCTGACCTGTTTAATTTTAATTAGATTATTATATATTTCATTTTTACCTAATATTCTTTTATATTTACAAATTAAACCTACATATATATATCAAACCATTATAAAGCTTATAAAAAGTATGTCTTAAATATGCTCAAAACTTATAACAAAGCTTTTTTTTTTAAAAAAAAAAAAGTCTACATATTAAATGGGCCTTTCAAAAATGCTTTAGTCCATGTTGGAACTATTGTAGGCTCAGTCTTATACCTTTCAAAAATGCTTTAGTCCATGTTGGAACTATTGTAGGCTCAGTCTTATACCAAAAAAATTCTAGAAAATTCCGATAACAGGCACATACCTAATTTGTCAATTCCTAACCCGACCCGACCTGTTTCCACCTTAGCTTTAAGCATAATAGCTAGGTATATGTACATTTTGATTTTGTTAATTGCAAATAAGTCTAAATATTTAGAGTAATATCACTACTGTAAATTATGGAATATCCGACCACCTGAAAGTGATCTTAAATTAAGTATAAAAAAAAAATTAAGTAGAAAGTCTTGTTTCAACCACTTTTGGTATTCGGAAAAATATTTGTTGCTATTTTCGACCTGCTTTCTACTTGATTTAAGATCACGGGTGATCGAAAATTTCATAATTTCTAGCAGTGTACAGGTGGTCGGAAATTTCATAATTTCCAGCACTGATAAAAACGGATTAATTGTATATATATGTTGAAGTGCAGATGATGGCAGAGGCATTGGGAACATACATATTAGTGTTTTGTATATGTGGGATAATATCAAACATGCAGCTGATGGGAGTGCAAGTAGGGTTGCTGGAATATGCAGCCACTGCTAGTCTTACAGTAATAGTTGTTGTCTTCTCCATTGGGCCTATTTCTGGAGCTCATATCAACCCTTCAGTCACACTAGCTTTTGCATCACTTGGCCCTTTTCCCTGGCCCAAGGTACCATATATATCAACATACATTCTTAAGCTTAATTCCATTGTTTTAAGTAACTTCAATTCCCAATGACATTGTGGTCTAGTGGCACAAAGCGGCTCTCTCAATTGAGAGATCATAGATTTGAGCCTCAGTGAATGCAGTATTGACTCTTTGTGCTTCAGTAGATTAAGAAAGTAGTTATGAACAGAAACTACATTGTAACAGAGTCAAATTACTGGTCTCAAATGAGTGGTTTGGAATGTGTTCACCCATGTCAAACTGGGTACAACTTGCCCTGAAAGGGGTAGCCAAGTATGTAGAGCATTATTCTCATACCAGAAGGTCACGAGTTCAATTTTTGCCAACACCCTCTCGGTCGAGTCCATTGCATAGGGTCTTCTTCTTAGTGTGATTTACCTATCCTATGTGGTCTACTATACGAGTTAACGTATTACATAAAAACAAAATTTACCCCGTGCATACTTTAAGTAGTGACTATAAATTTTTCTCCTCACAAAAAAAAAATGTATAAGAAGAGAATGTGAGCATTTATGTTTGCCAATTGTTTTTGCAAGGTTCCCTTTTATATAATGGCACAAGTGGGAGGTTCTGTATTTGCCACAGTTTCAAGCAGGCTAATCTATGGAGTGGAATATGAGCATATGATGACAAGACCACTCCATGGATGCAATGCAGCCTTCTGGGTAGAATTCTTGGCAACCTTCATTATTCTCTTCCTAGCCTCTTCATTGTCTAGTGATCCTCAATTTGTAAGTCAATCCTCTAATTTGGTATTCAATAATCAATATAATCGATGTTAACTGTTATTACCGTAAACCTAGTTGATCTGAGTTAGTCGGACTGCTGATTTAGTAACTACAAGGCTCCAAAGTTCGAATCCGAATGCGAATGACTTATTAGACTTATTGATTTGAGTCCTTAATAATTGAAATTTACCCAGTGCCATGCATACCTACAGAGAGTAACTATGGTGAATCAAAAGAATTATAAAAACAACATTACACATAAAATCATCCTAATTCTTAACAATGAAATGGGCATTTTGCAGACAGGGAAATTGGCAGGATTTGTTGTTGGAGTATGCATTGGTCTTGGAGTGCTAATCTCTGGGTAATGGTCAACCTTAATTTGTCTTATTTATTTATTTATTTATTTTTATTTTAGTTGTATTATGAAGAAAAGAGTGAAAAGAAGGGAATTGAAAATTGGCACAGGCACCAAAATTAAACATATCTTGCCATATAGTTCATAGGCTATTACACATGAATGTTATTTAGCTAAATTTATATTATAACTATCAATAATAAAAAAAAATCTCAATTCACGTAAACTGTTGATTTATGATAAAGTCCTTTGCCACTATATGAGTGTGCCTTCTAGGTGAATCACATTTTGTAATCTTAACCAACAAAGGAACATATAGAAGGAGATAAATCAACATAAGTTGTTTGCCCTAACTATATGAGGCATTTTTCAACCCCTATTATACCTTACTTAGCCTAGTCGTCAGTCGCACTAGACTGACTCAATTAAGGGACGAGAAAAGATTTTGAACTCCTGACCTTTTTTAAGATATGACTTATGAGAGTGCAAGGCCCAACCAAGATGGTTAGAATTGAAGTGGAACTAATTATAAAGGGTTTAGCTACTTGTAACATATATTATATATATCATAATGTATTATAATGTGACGCATTAATATTATTTAATTTGTAAATTACAGGCCAGTTTCTGGTGGGTCAATGAATCCGGCAAGATCATTAGGGCCCGCGATTGCATCATGGAGCTTTGATAGCGACTTGTGGATCTATTTCGTTGCTCCGACCACCGGAGCCGTCGCCGGCGTTTTCTTGTATCGTCTTCTACGCCTCCAAGGCTGGACTTGCAAGCCTGCAGATGCTTCTCCAAACACTCCCTTACATAATAATTATAATAATCCTTCAAATTAACAAAAAAAATCATATATTATATTATATTATATTATATGTTACACAAAAAATACTAATAATAATTGCACTGTAATAATAATAATAATAATAATAATCACAACAATAATAATATATAATTTCTAAGTGTAGTGTCAATATCAGATGAGTTCATACTTCATTATTCTGAAAATGAAATATTGTTTGCAGTATATATGTCATTTTGCACTCCTCACTTTTATTTATTTATTTATTTATTATTATTATTTAGGAAGAAAATGAATCTTTTTTTCCTCGAATGAGACACAACGATAAATAAATACCCTATAAACAAAGAAACTTGATATACTTAGACATGTTCCCGGCCGCGGAGGTATTAGTTAGCTTTTTGTTCCCCACGCTCCTACCCGACAGAGTATCTGGATAGATATAAATCATGGTAACTCAGCTGAATATATAAGTTAGACATTTGCTTGCTGCGCACAAAGACCTCCCTCACTTTGAGAGGTTACTCTCGATCACACGGCCGTTGGTGAGACTCGATCACGTGTTATTGTTTCCAAACTTTACTCCTATGACCAACTGAACTGTCTATGCAAACTATTAGATAGCAAAAGTGATTAGAAAACTGATCAAAAAATTAAATATAATAGAGAAATTAAAATACACATTTAAAAAATAAATCTTCAATAAATATTTGATTTACAAGACTCCGAGAAGGCTAATAAACAATCATGTCAAAGAATCGAACTTGTAACATTGTAGTTATCAAATAAACTACTCAATCAACTCAACTGGAGTTGCCTTAGCTCCTAAACCAAGCTCTCTAACTATTGGATCAAGAGGCCATTGTCGGTAACTTTAATTTAATTTATTTCATTATGTCTTGCTAATGAAAGTTGAAACCATAACGTAAGAAAGCATCGTTTAATGGTTAATTATACTAAAAAATTAACCAAAGTGGGTGACATTAGGATGGAAAAAGTAAATAACACCAATAAAAAAATTAAAAATCCAAATGCTAATGACAAGAAACTCGTCATGTTCCACAACCTGAGGAAAAATATAGAAAACCACAAACAATAATAAAAGTTTAATTTTCATGTAATTATTTTAAGTGTTTTAAAATGTTAATTCCACGTAATGTTGAAGTGTTGTGCCTCGACAATATCATCATCAATATTCATCAATGGGATCGGAGTAGACCGAACGTTAGCCACTTGCTCTTGTTTTGGCCCCATGATTGACACATTCACCGTGAAATATAATCCATTTTACTATAATTATATGTGTTTCACGGTGATTTAGACAATCGAGTTTAGTATGTATCTTGCTATTTAAAATATGACATTGATAGTTATGTAATTATAAAAAAATAAAATTACATATTCACTATTAGTTATATTTTTTAACGCAATAATAAATGTATGTTTAATTCTAATAATATATAAGAAAAAATAAAATAAATAAAGATATAAAAATTTAACGTGAAAATCATAATGGCCCGATAAAAATCACGAATCTATTTTGAGCAAGTTGGATTTTATTCTTTATTTTTGACATATAACATTCAATATCTTTATCACTATGAGACTAATTTGGATTCGACTTGGATAGATAATGCTCGTAAGATCAAATTGAATTTCACTATATAATGTGTAATACATGTACAAAATTTGCATGACAATGGAGTAAAAAAGAGAGATATGATCTTGTTTGGCAATTAGATATTAGCGACTTAGCGGTTAGCAAATTCGACCAGTTAGCAGTTTAGCTATTAGCTAATTATTATTATATTAGTTGGTTTCGGCCCTGTTTGGTAAAATGGCTGTTAGCTGCGGTTAACTGTTAGCTGATTGTGTTAATTAGAGGGTATAAATAGTTGATAACATTAGCTGATTGCAGAAAAGTGTTGGTAAATTAGCTGTTAGCTGATAGCTGTTTGGTATAATTTCTTTTCTCAAAAAGCTAATTGAAAAAGTTGATTGGAGTAGCTTTTTGAATTTTAACCTTTTGGAGTTGCAAAAAGCTAATTAACCAAACATTTATATTGATATTTTAACTAAATCAAACAATTAATAGTGGTCAAATAAGTCAAAATTGGCCTATAGGCCAATTTTTTACCAAACAGGGCCTTCATCAATTAGTAAAATTAGTGATTTGTGAAATATAACATATAAATGAATTTATTTTATAACAATAAATTATTGAATTGATTATTAATAATTATATGTAAATAAAATATTTTCGAGATTGTCAAGATTCAATCCTTTATCCTCAAATGCAATCTGTCATCGAGAATCAACTAAGCTACCCAGCTGAACGAGTTCTATTTTAACATTACATACTGATATCAAATAAAATACATTAAAATCTTTCTATATATAAAAAAAATAATTAATTAATTAAAAAATAATTAATTAATTAAATAAATAAACCATTAATGAATTGAAATGAAATCCATTCAATTTGTGGAAGAAAATTAAAGGTCCAACTAGATGTTAACAGGGACACCGGCCATGAAATATTGAGATTTGGACAGGACAACCCCACATATACAATACTCCATGGGCATATAGCCCAAGGTCAATGGAAACTTGTAGTATATTGTAGATTAATGAAGAAGATGTGGCTCTCACTTGCCCCAAAACACAAGTGTTTTTTGCTTTATAAATCGTTACGTTGGTGAAGTGTTTGTGCTTTTGCTCGGATGTTGACATTCTAATATCTCAAGAAATCTAAGTTTCCAATTTGATAATAAGCTATACAAATTAAGCAGGGGAAAATTTCAAATAGACTATGAAGACATTTATGAAGAAGAAATTAATTGCTTAAAACTTTACGGATTAACTTTAGGTAACTGGCTAATTGGTTTAAGCATTAAATTGACAAGTTGATGTATTTAAATATAGATTTTTAAAGTTTAAAGGTTTAATTATTTTTTCGTATAAAATTCAGAAACTTATTTGTCATTTTTTCAATTAAGTATATATTTATAAGTTATTCTTGTCTGTGTTATAATTTACAAATATTATTGATTTTCGACATTATAGTTTGATTATTATAAAACGGTTGTAACGGTGTGTAGTATATATATATATATATATATATATATATATATATATATATATATATATATATATATTTTGTTGTAATATGTAGAAATATTGAATGAATGAGATATTTTTCTCTCCTTTTCTCTTATTCTCTTATTGCTTTGCGCATTAGTTTACAATAGTTTGGAAGTTATTATGAAAATTAAATACCACACAAATACTTTTGACAAGGACAGCTTCTAGAGCGGCAATGGAATTCCTTATCCACAAAAAAAAAAAAATAAAAAAAATAGAGTTGTTAAAATAAAATGAGAAAAAAAATTCCATAATTTATCATTTTTTGTAGTGATTTTATAGTCATATAGTCAATAATATGTAGTGACCATCATTTCGTTTGAAAAATAACATTTTTTTCTTGATTTTTTTTTTTTTTTTGTTACTTTGGGATTGAGCTGTTTTCGTGTTTTGTTGTCTTCCCCAGGATTTTATTTGGGTGGGGGTATATTGACAAGAATTTTCTTTTACATGCATGAAACTCATCTTAGAAATTCAAAGTTGAGTTACGCATTTCTTTTTGTTCACTTCTCTCGCGATTTTCTATATATCAAGTTTTATTATTAGTACATTTTTTTTTTTGTAATAATTACAAAAAATCACTGTATTATATTCTTTTTTAGATTTTCAACCTTGATCATCATCATAGATGAATGGTTGAGATTTGTCAACATTTTTACGATAACATATTTTATTTTACTTTTATCTATCTCTATTTGTTTTATTTAGAAAAATGTTCAAATTAGTCATTAAACTATATGCGAAAATGCACTTAGGTCATCCAACTCAAAAAGTGCAATTAGATTCTTCAAATGTCTAAAATTATGCAATTCAATCAAATTTGACATGTTCCTTAAATCATCGCTGATGTGACAGTCGTCTTATTAAAAATATTATTTTTAAATTTATTTTAATAATTCTAAATAAAATAAAAAAGTAAAATTTTAAATTCTTTGTTTTCCTGTGTGCTTAATTAAAACCAGCCAACAATTTTAGGTGGCCAGATTCCAAAAATCTTATTCCTGGTATTAATTAATTAATTTTATATATATATATATATATATATATATATATATATATATATATATATATATATATATATATATATATATATATATATATATATATATAAACTTTAAAAAGTCAAAATGAAATGGGAAATTGCCCCAAATGCAGTAATTATATTACATTTGTTGGGTGTATAGGAAAATATATCTTAGACATTTTTATTTTAATTGATGAATTTTACATTCATTTTATTATAAAATATGCTTTCAATTAATTTAAGATAAATAAAAATAAAGTTCATTCAAATTGACATCCACTTTAGTTCTTTATGCATGATGACAAGTAGTGTATACAATGTATATTAAATAAAAAATTAATATAAATTTCAATTGAAATAAACATACGTTATAGTAAAAATGTACATAAAATTCAATGATTGTATATAAAATATTAATATCCTTAGCCAAACCCCCATGGCATACACCCTTAAATCTACATACTTTATGGCTTGAATTGCTTAAAATGTGGTCAAGAGTTCGAACTCATGTGTATGCAGTAACACATTTAAAAGAAAAAGTTAAGTGTTTTTGTCACTTAAGACAAGCCAAGAACAATATAATATGTATCCAATATGGCAAAATATCGACCTCTTTTATGATGCATGCATGGTATATTTATAGGGTTGGATGACATCTAGCTAGCCGTTACGTAAGGACTAATCGATTACAGATGAAAGTCTATTGGTGGTTCTCCTCATAATAAGAGCTAGAGCAAGAATATAATAAGGAAGTTGTAATAGACTCCAAACAATTCTCAATGGTAGTAGTTAGGTCGATCGAGTGTCTCAAATGAAGTCGGATTGGAGTACACCGAGTTTCTAAAGTGTACTCTGAGGTTCTTTAGGTTTTCCATCATGCTTAATACGGACTTAATT